GACAGGCCCATAACTATATGGACACTTGGATTTTGATAAGGATGATACTGTAGAGAAGCAGGATATGAACAGTGTTTTTAATAATGGTGCTGGATCAAAAGAATATTTTTATGGAAAAAATATGGCTCTTGACCCCTATCTTACACCACATAGAAAAATCAAACCCAGATTGATATCTAAATGTGAAAGGTAAAACAAATCTTCTAGAAAGTAGTACAAGAGATAACCTTGAGTGGACAAAGATCTTTTAAATAGGACACAAACACCACCAATCTTTAAGGACAAGATTAATAAATCGGGCCCTGTTAAAATTAGGAATTTCTTTCTTTGGCAGGCAGTTAGACAGACATGAGCAGAGCCAGGGCAGGGGGCCAGGTACAGAAGGTCACCAGGGTGGAAAGCCCAGGGTGCCTAGCAAAGGTCAAAACTGGGAAAACAAGGCCCTAGCCAGTTTGGCTCAGTGGTTAGAGCATCAGTCAGCCTTTGGGCTGAAGGGTTCCGGGTTCGATTATGACCAAGGGCACGTACCTCTGTTGCAAGCTCAATCCCTGGCCCAGGCCGGGGTGCATGGGGGAGGCAACTAATAGATGTGCTTCTCTCACACATCGATGTTTCTCTCTTCCCCCCCCCACCCCCTTCCACTCTGAAAAGCAATAGTATCTCTAGTCATGCGATTTAGACCCCCTGACCTTTCACATCATTGGTCATGCTGTTTAGGCCCTCCCCTGACCTTTCCTCCCCTGGCATTTTGTTAGACCCCCTTAGAGGGGGAATGAACAAGGGGGCCAGAGAATAGCCTTTAAGCATTAAGCCCCCAGGACAGTAAGGTTCTGACCCACATCAAATACATCTAGGCCTCAGTTGTGTTTCAGCTCCAGGCCCAGAAAAGCAGCAAAACCAGACAAGCAATGCTACGGCTGACCTCAGGACCAGCTGCACTGACTAATGACCCCCTGCCCTGGTACTGACTAATCAGTAGAGACCACAACCCTGAAAGGACACACCTGGAAAGCTGATGAATATTCTATTAGGATCCTCCCCTGAGACCTCCAAATAAGGAAGCACTCTAATGCCTTTCCCCGGGGTCCATTTTCCTTGCCTCTCTCTTTCTCCTAAGCTCCAAGGGCCCTTCTTTTGCCTCTGTAACTTGTTTCCTGAGCCCATTTCTTCTACCACTGACTTCTTCTTCTTCTGTGACTTTCAAAATAAACTTTCTCTTATAGTTTGAATCTTGGCCCTGAATTCTTTCCTAGCCAGAACTCAATACCAAGGTTGCTGAACCAAGGTCGGGTCTGACTCCACCAGTCTAACACCTGGTGCCGTTCTCCCGCTGCCAACATCTCCATCAAAAGACTGCTTTTGGAGACAGAAGAGCAAGCAACACATATAACTAAGGATTTCTTCAATCATCAGTTCCTTCATTTGTAGGGTTAAATGAGATAGTATAGCACAGTGCCTGGCATGCAGGAAGTGCTCCATAAAATTTTATATTGCTCCTCTTATAACTGAGGCATCCAGGCAGGAGGATTGTACTTCAAACCATTTCTAGGCAGACAGAATCTCTCTCCTCTTTTTGACACTCCACAAAGAAAGATGTCAGAAGGGTTTCCTCAATAATCCCTTCACAATCCTTACAAACCAGTGTTGAGGGCAATCCCTGAGGCGTCCCCTTGTCCCCCCAGCTGCAATCCGCATGCAGATCAGGTGTCCAGCTCTAAGTAATACCATAGAAGGGTTAGGAGGTGCAACGGGGAGGGTGAAAGTGGCTGTGTCAGCTCCCTGTGAGGGATCCCCAAGTGAGCTCAAAGCAACAGGGAGGGGCTGGTCAGGAGAGAAGAAAGCCTTCTCTTCTTTCAAACATATTGTTATTCATCATCACAGTCACCAGGATTCCCAGAAGCATGGGAGAGGGGGCCCTCAGGCTGGTTTCAAAGGGGTCACCTCCTTCCAGAACTTAATTGGGGAACATTCTGACCTGCGTGGATGGAGAAGATCAGAGGCCACTCTGCACTGTGCCCCGACAGTGGAATGAATTCCCACCCCTCGGCAGGATGACGGGTTTGCCTCTAGCTGTCTTCTGTCCTTTTACTCCTCCCCAGGAGGAGGGCACAGAGTCTAGAAGCACAAGGCCACTAATGAGGCCAAGGGTAGTGAGAACAAAGACCCTTGAATAGGCCCGCCCCCGTCAGTTCTGAGGGCCACAGGCCTCATGGCTAGGACCCCATCACGCACTAGGCACAAACCCTTCTGTGGTTTCCAGAACCTGTCTGCACCCTCCCAGCCCTGGTCTCACCAAGCCCTGCAGACTGAGCACTGTCCTTACCCCCATTTTACAGGTGTCCAAGCTGAGCTTAGAGAACTACTTACCCAAAGTAGTTCTCAGGCTCCAGACCTATCCCACTTTATAGTCCTGCCTCCCTCAAGATAGATAGCAGCAGTAAAGATATCATGAATTACCATTTTTTAGCATCTCTGATGTGCCAGGCATATAGTCATAGGTGCTTCACTTCCATTAGTTCATTGTTCTTCTGGGAGACCCCAGAACTAGGAGAGTACCCCATTTTACAGGCTCAGAGAAGATAGAGCAATGAGAGCGCATACTTGGTGCCAGGCACTGTTCTAAACACTTTATTGTACATTAAATCACCCAATCTTCCCAACAATCCTGTGAGAAGAAGAAGAATATCATCTCCACTTCAGAGACACAGAAACTGAGGCTCAGAGACATCAGGTACATTGTCTGAGGCCACACAACTAGGAAGTACAGAACTGGGGTTTGAACCAAGCATTCTTACCACTGTTTCACATCTGGCAGTACAGGCCACTTACCCAAGTGACACATCTAGAGAGTGTCAGAATCTATTTGAAACCCCTGCCCTACTGAAAGTCCAGGATCTTCCCATCCAGCAATCCTGCCTCGGGTGGGGTTAGAGGGATACTCTGGATCATGTCTCTCCATCTAAGAGACAGCTTTCTGCCAAGCAATCCCCAGAAATGGGATGCATGGAGGCAGAGCCCTCTACGGTGACATCACAAAGCTGGGACTCAGCCCAGCCAAGCTTCTGTGCCAGTTTTTCCCTCTCTGCCTGCTGCTCACTGGCTGAACTCAGCCCCGACTCTCATTCTCTCCTTTGGGCTCCATTGAAAGCACTGAATGGGAGGTGGAGGGAGCTTGGAGGGAGACTGGGTCTTCAGTGAGCCCTGAGGGTGAGGAGAGGGGTGCTGGGGAGTGGTTCTGGAGTTGTGGGGAAGGGGTAACCTAGCAACCACTGGCTTATGCAGTCACAAAGCAGACAGTCTTGTCCGCAGAACACACAGCCTCCCCTTTAACTGTCCTCTTGCTCCTTCCTGCTCGGGCAACAGGGGCTTCTCACCCACGTGCTGTAGTGGGCACTTGCCTTGGTGAGTCCTGGGATCTTTCTATGGGGGAGGAAATGGACTAGGGTTCAGGGGAGAGCCCAGAGAGGCAAGATGGGGAAAGTTCTATCCCAGGATTGATGCGAGTGTTCAGAATCCATGTGCCTGGCTGGCTGGGGGCCCAGGAGAGAGGAAAGTGGGGAAGAGATAGGCCTGACCTCTCTCCAGCTGCTGCGGGGTGCGACCCATTAGTGTCTTACAAAATTAGTTTAATGGTTCACGTCTACCATTTACAAAATGCGAACATATAGAATGAAAATACCCGCGCGAATCATATGTAGCAGGGAAAGTGCTGCTCCAGGATATTCTTGTGTCGGTTTCACATACACACAGCATGTGCCCATGTATGTGAATTGGGTCATGATGTAACCATGAGTTGCTTACTGTGGTCACAGTCAAGAGCATTTGAAAGTCTCTGTTCTAAAGGCTACCTTTTCCTGTTGGGAGGTGCATTGGGGGCCTCCAAACGTCCTGTTCTCAAGCCTGCAGCCTCTAAGTGCTCTAGAGAGCAGCCCCCTCACCCGGGATGTCCAAAGCTTCCTTCAAAGGAAGCTCTGCCAACTGGTTTTCTTTTTAGAGAAAAGATTAGGAGTCTTTGAGTCGGGTTGCTTTGCAACCTCAAAGTCTCTCCCCTTCCCTGATCTCAGGCAATACTGCATTCTCCACCCTAACCTGATGAAAGGCTAGCCCTGGGGAGGTCCCTGGGCTCCCTTGCAGGGTCTGTAATTCTGGGGGTTAATTCTCAGAATGCACTGACTGCCTTTTCCAACCCCACTCCTGACACCTGAACCCCCCAGCATTTTGGGTAAAGGTATATGTGTATACATTCAGGTCCATAGATTTAGATTAATCACCATTCTTGGCTTGGACACCTATCATTTTTCAGCCATGTCATTTAATTAGCTTATTTAATAATATAACGGACAGCAGTAAATGCACGTCCCAAACCAAGAACTAGAATATCACCACTAATACATCTTATGTGCTCCTCTCCCAGCCCTCCCCCGCCCTGCTCTCAGAAATAGCCACTAGCTGAATTTTGTGTTTAACATTTCCTGCTTTTCTTTTGTTTCATCACAAATTTATGATAATTTTACTTGCTTTTGAACTTTACTTTGGATAAGGATCTCAGGCTGTATGGTCTTCTGCCACTTGCTTTCCTTGTCTTAGTGTAGTATATGTAAAATTCATCTATGTAGCTGCATGTAGTTGTGGTTCATCCATTTTAATTGCAATATAATGTTCAGTTGCCTGAATGTGCCACAGCTTATTTATCCACTCTTCTGCCATTGGACACTTGGATTGTCCCCAGGTTTTTAATAATCTAAATCATCTTAGTTTGACTATTTTTGCAAATAGCCCCAGTTGTGCATCTACCAGTGTCGCTCTTGGGTGTATACTTGGGAGAGGAATTGCTGGGTGATAAGGTATGCAAATGTTCAATTTTGCAAGATATTGCCAATCGTTTTCTCCCAAAATGTCTGTTCCAGCCTATATTCCCACTATCAGTCTATGAGAGGTCCTAATACCCATCTTCAACACTAGTATTAAGTGCACTGATCTTTATTGCTAGAAACTGTACAATGGCTGCAGAGGTGAAGACCCAATTGTCTGAACAACCACTGATGAGGTGAGACCCCAAATGCCTACCCTGTTGACCAAGAAGGTGATGGGACAAAGGTGGCCTCAGGGGAACTCTACAGACTGAGGGTCCAAGAGAGGAAGTCCTTCCTCACCTTCCACTGCCATCAGCTAGGTCCCCAATGGGTTCTCAGGCCTGAGATACCACAGGTCACAGGAGGGACCCCTCTCCGGATGGGGGGAGGGTGTGGTGGCAGGAGCCAGGAGCACTGAGCGCAGAAATTCCAGGGATTTCTAGGGGGTGACTTTCTCTGTTAGTTGGGGTTAGGAGAGGCCAGCTAACTGTGACTTTCAGAGAAATTTTTCTTTATTTCTTTAAGTCCCAGATCTCTTAGAGGCGAACAGAGGACGGAACAGGATACTCAGGGGCCTGGTCAGCAAAATCCTGAGAGGGTCCAGAGGCAGAACACCTTTCTTAGCATATCAAGAGTCCATCTATACCACAGAGGGACTCCCTCCAGCCAGGGGCACCAGGAGAAGGGAAAGCAGACAGCAAGCAGGCAGGTGGTCCCACCAGACACCAGGCAGAGAGCAGCCCACCTTTGGATCCTTGCTGGACCGACTCCGACCTCTCCCTCCAGGAGCAGGGGCACAGCACCCTCAGGAGAGGGAAGGGGGGCGCAGGGAGGAGAATAGAGAACCTGAAACGGCTTTTTTCCAGTGACGCGAAGCAAGAGCTTGAAGCTTCCCTGCAGCGTCGCAGCTCTGAGAGCTGCCACATCAGCTCGGCATCTCCAGGGAGGGGCCCCCCAGAGAAAAGGACTTGCTGGTATAGTCTGGTTTTGGGGCCAGCTTTGGCCCCCAGTGCTGAGTCTAAGCCAAAACTGCCGCTGATGGCATGGGGGAAGGTGACAGTCTACAGCTGGCTTCTCCTGGGCGGCCAACAGTTTGGCTTGGGGAGAGACCCTTGATGGGATCAGCCCTCTGGCTCTGGAGGTGTATATAATGTGCCTTTGCTCCAATCCAGGTATTTGGATGAGTAGGTGGGTCTACAGCTTCTCTTTCTGGCTTTAGAGATGTTTCTGAGAGAAAACTGGGGTCCTGGGGAATTCCATCTGAGTTTTCTCAAATGGATCCTAGCTCCCTGCTAAGGCACCTTAAGAAGCCAGAAGCCTCCCTGAGACTGGATTGTCTCAATTGGGAGGAGAAGACCCTGAGGGAGGCCCAGCTTTGAAGCCAGGGGGATGGTAGACAAATCCTGGAAACCACTTTTCAGAGTACCTCAGGAATGGACTCGTGAAAAGCCCTGAGCACTAAGCGCTGGGTGCTGAGCCCTGAGCCCTGAGCCCTGAGCCCTGAGCCCTGAGCCCTGAGCCCTGAGCCCTGAGCGCTGAGCCATGGGCCCTGAGCGCTGAGCCATGGGCCCTGAGCCCTGAGCCCTGAGCCCTAAGCCCTGAGCGCTGAGCCACGGGCCCTGAGCCCTGAGCCCTGAGCGCTGAGCCGTGGGCCTTGAGCCCTGAGCCCTGAGCCCTGAGCCCTGAGCCCTGAGGCCTGAGGCCTGAGCCCTGAGCTCAGACAGGCACTGCTTCGAGGAGTCTTCATTAGCTTCTCCTTCACCCTCTTCTTCAGTCCAAAGGCTGAGCCGAAGGCTGAGAAGTCAGAGCACAGGCCAGGAAGCCACGAGGTCAACAGGCCACAGAAAGAACTGATTGTCCCAGGGATCGTGGATTTCAAGGTGATCCGAGATGAACTGAGGGCCCCCGAGCCCCCAACCCCTGGCACCTACCGCTTCGGCCGCCTTAGCCACCACTCCTTCTTCTCCCGGCATCACCCCCATCCCCAGCAAGTGACTCACATCCAAGGTAGGGCTGGGATGGGGCTGGGGTATGCCAGGGCCTGGCCGGGGGTGGAGGGAGGGTAGTCTTAAAACCTGGAAAGGGAGGACCCAGACCCTATTTCTAGGCTGAGGCCCAGAGAGGATGGAGACTTGGCCAGGGCCACAGAACTGCTTGGCCACTTGTAAGCACTTGGCCAACCCAAGACTTGCCTTGGGGGCAGGCTCCAACGTCAGACTAAATGTCCCTGCAGAATTTCCATTGCTGATTAGCCCACCCTACAAATCAGAGAAAGGCAGGAATGTTCTGCCACCGAGCTGCACTCTGGTCATTAACGCAGGCCATTGCATCCATCAAGCAGCTATGAAGTATGAACTGGGTATGAGTCAGGCAACTTTTTAGATCGTGGGACCCTGACAATGAAGTCTCTGTCCTCATGGAGCTGACTCTCTGGCAGGGAAGGCTAGGATATAGATAAGGTGTCAGAGCATGGTAAGTGCCAAGGCTATAGAGGCGAGACCTGATCAGGAGCACGACTTTAGAGCAAAGAACTAAAAGAAGAGAGGACATGAATCAATCATGTGGCTATCAGGGTGAGGGAGGAGGGGAATGTTCCAGGCAGAGGGGACAATAAGCACAAAGGCCCAACAGCAAGGAGGCCAATGTGGCTGGAGCAGAGTAAGGAGGGAAGACAGGAGATGCAGTCGAGAGGCAATGGGGGCCCAGACCATATGGGCCTTGGAGGCCACTGCAGTCATCACTAAGCCATCTCACTGAGTCAGATGAGAACCACTGGAAAGCTGAGAGCCAAGAAGTGTCAGGAGTGAATTATTGGCCTCTGTCTGGATGGTAGCTTGGACCAGGGAGGTAGTAGTGGAAGAGTTAGTGGTCCCACTCTAGAGATATACAGAAGGTAAAGCCAACAGAATTTGCTGATTGATTAGAAACAGAGTGTGAGAAGAAGAGAGAGGTCAAGGCTGACTCCTAGGTTTTTGGTTTGAGTAACTGGAAAACCGGAGTTGCATTGGCCGGGACACAAAGGCTCAGAAGGGGTCCTTGCAGGATAGGAGAGGAGGGGGAGTTTGGTCTGGGACCTGAGAGATGCTAAATGTGAGACTCTTTTAGACACCCAGCTGGAGGCACAGAGGAGGCAGTTGGGTATGGAGGTCAGGGGAGAGATGCAAACAGGAGGGCGATTCAAGTGCGGATGGCGTTTGAAGTGTCCTGCCTGGATGGGATCATCCAGGAGACCGTGTAGACGTAAGAGAGGAGAACCTGGGGGTTGAGCCCCAGGGACCCCAAGGCTAAGAGATTGAGAGGAGGCGTAGGCTGCACAGGAAATGAGTAGTAGCTGGTGAGCTAGGACGAACCAGAAGAGTAAGGGGTCCAAAAGGAAAGTGTTAGGACAGCAATTCTGTCCTAACCAGTCTGGCCCTCAAAGCCTGTCAGTAGTAATATAATATCACACAGCCCTTGGGCCGAAGTGTCCTTATGTGTAAACTGCCTGCCACCATCTCCGGGCTGCCCTGTACTCAGCCCTGCACAGGCTGACAGATGGCAAGATGATTCATCCAGAGAGTTTAGCTAAATCCACTCCCTGTGGTTTGAGCCCAGGTCCCTCTCTCCGCGGCTATGGCTCACTGCCTCCACGCTCAGGTGTCCCTCTTTAGGCTGCTCACCTCTGAATGCTCACACCTGCAGTCATTGCTCTGTCAGAAAGCCAACAGGACCTCAGGACTAGGGGCGTGGGAAGCCTGTGTGACCCTGAGCACATCCCTGTGCTGTTTATCCTCAGCGCCCCTGGGAGTAAGGTCTGGGTGGCTGCAGAGGCCCTCTGGGCTTTGATGATCTATGGGCTATAGCTACCCGAAGAAGGGGGCCCGTGCTCTCCCTTCCCAGCCTCCTAGAGCTCTGGGGGTCCACCCAGTCCCCCATTCCCACAGCCTCTACCCCTTCACAGATCTCACCGGGAAATCCATCTGTGTCGTCAGGGACAAGTTCTCTCTGACTCCCTTGCCTCAAACTGAACTACTGTCCCACTGTCTGATGGGGATGCCCATCACCTCTGCCCCTGTTGGAGACCCGAAGTCCAATCGGAACCCTCAGCTTCCTTCTGGTGGGTACTTGGGCCACAGAGGCTCTACTTTGGGGTTACACCACTCTCCAAGGCCGGGTGCCTGTGAAGGAAGTGGGATCCCCTCAGATACCCCATTTTCCCCCTCATTTCCTACGGCATCTGCAGCTGCATTGCTCCCCACCCCTGAGGTCCTCAGAAATGCGCTCCTGCTTGGATTTGGGGTGATTGAGGAGTAACTACAAGCAGAGGACAAGCAGACTTGGGCAAGTCATATGACTTACAGCTATAGACTGGAATGACACTGGAGGTATTTAGTACCTGTATTCAGGCACCAGCCATCAGAACAGTCAGCCATAGACAGCACTGTTGCCGCCCTCTGGAGGCCTCTGCCCTGCCAGGCTTTGCCCTTTCTGTTGGGGGGTGGGGAGGCCGAGAAGCAGCTGAGTCAACCTGCAGAGCAAAGGTTCGGAAGGCTTGGTCCATGCTCTGTACCACCCTCTCCAGGAATAGTCTAATATTTTAGTACCTGGCTGAATCTCAATATGGCTTCAGTTTCCTAAAAGAGGCAAAGCTAAATTAAACCACTCACATCTTGGCACAAAGAAACAAATGCTCTCCAGTGTCTCCCAGTAAAGCCACAGGCTAGGACATCAGTAGCCTCCTCCACACCCACCCTCCCACCCACNCCCCAAGGGCACTGCCTCCCCTTCCCTTTAAGATGCAGGTGAAAGGCTGGGAGGAGAGGCAGCTCTTCCACCTACAGCTCCCCCAACACCTGGTGCCACAGGGAGGGCAAGGAAGAGGGCCCCAGACATCAGTTGCCAGGATCTTGTCCTCTCCTTCCAGAGGCCTGGAAGAAGGAGTTGAAGGACCTGGCTGCCCAGGTGGTCGCCTTTACCAGGGAGAATGAGCTGAAGAACAAAGAGGTGGGTGCAGAACAGAGGAGCTGTCTGGGAAGAGATGAAATGGATCCATCCCTTTGGTAGGAAATCCCTCCCAAGTCCGGTCAACCTGACCAGCAGAAGAGCGAGCGTTCCTTGCGGCGCTGCTGTTGGTACTGGGGAGGAGGGGCCGACAAATACAAACCGAAGGGAGAGGGCCACAGTGAGGGCTCGAGGAGCGAGAGCCTGCCCCGGTGGAGAGGTCCAAGAAGGGTTCCTGGTTCAGAAGTGGACAAGGGAGGCATCCTAGTGGAGGCGTGCAGCACAAAAGCCCAGAAGTGGGAAAACGCAGGACATCTTCAGAGAGCAGGAAGCTGAAGTGCAGGACATAGTGAGCAGCAGTGCGGGAGAAGGCGGGAAGGGGCTGACCTAGAATGTGGACAAGGCCAGCTTGTTGTCAGTTCTGAACTTAGTGTAGTGTCTAATCTCATAAGGAGTGGAGAGTCCCTGGAGGTTTCCAAACAGGACTGGGGGAACCTCGTGGGTGCTATTTGCTGATTAGTAAAGACAAGTAGGAGGCAGCTTGAAGGTAGTTGGAATTGGTCCTAGGACAGGCTTGGCCCTTCGTGGTTGAGTCTCACCCTGCACTTGTGTTGGGCAGTGGAATTCTCATCCTTCTGTAGCTAACTCACTGTGGCTCTCAGAGCAACTCGGCTAAACGGCCTGGGTCTCAGCTTTGTCTTTAAAATGGGAAAAAGGATACTATCAGTCTTAACTGGAGTTGCAGGGTCTAGAGGCCCAAGCCTTGTGCCCACAGACCTGGCTTAAGAGGGTTTCCCAGGGCTAAGAAAGGTTGCCAAGCTGTGGGAGACAGGCCTGGGGCAGCTGAGCTAGGAATTAAGGTAGGTGGGGAAGTGGGGGCGGGGCTTGGCAAAGAATACTGTTTTCAAATTTCTGCTGGGCTGGGGGGAAGGGTAGCAGAGAGGACAAGCCCGGGACCACGGTGGGTGG